TCATTGGAAGCGATCACGCAAAGCGTTGATCGATACACAAGAACATGTATGTAGAAACAGTACATGCCTTCTCAAATTAGGAGCAGGTTCATTTCAACGTTCTGGGGGGATCATCTCCCTCCCTTCGCATAAAAGATCCGACTAGTTCACTTATACTATCGAGTCACATCCAGGTCGCCTATCATAGTTCAGTTGAGGGTAAGGAAAACGCCTCTTGACGCCTGTATGGGCCAAAATGGCCAGGGAGGCACCGTCGCTGCAATACGATGCTGAGCAGCTTTATCGGCCGAAGAAACATAGCAGGCCCTTTCCTGGCCAGGGTCAGAACCACAGTAACAACTCTCCATATTCTCATGCACGAAGGAGAGTATGAGCTGACGATTTGGAGGAACAAGTCACGTCGAAGAACCAGAGAGTTTATGGTCACTCAACGAAGGGCTTTGGGGAACCTACAGGGATGCGGATAGTTCAGTCAGGGCAAGTTCAAAACATGATTCAACCTTCAACCCCAACCTAGATTCGAGAAATAGTAACTCTGGCGGTTTCCTGGGGCTTGGACTAGCCCATATATTGAAGTTCATAGCATTCGAGCTGGTCAACTAACGTTCTGATAACGAACCATTTCAATCATTTCCTAGTGTGAACTACCGGCATTGCTTGGGAACTCGAGTTTATCCAATCTGTCAAGTCGAAAAGTATTTGCTGAATATTCGAGACCTGCGCAATGTATGGAAGGTTGATATGAAAGTGAAGAACAGGGCTCATCAGGCTTTCACAGTCATGTTGGATTCCTGCCCTGCACCCCCTGCGATATCCGATTGACAAATATGCTTGGAAGATCGGTTACTATCTAGGTCCGATATCTCATGATGAAAAGTGGCCATGAAGTCTCTTCGCAGCGTCAACAGCTGCTCGGCCGGCTTTGATATGTTATTCTGGAAGGTGAGCTAAATGATGATTAAGGCATAACAGCAAGACTCTGGAGAAGTGGCGGAATGATGATATTCTCACCGACCATACTGAGGGCATGAATCTGACGACTAGCGTGAAGTCCTTATATAGAAGCGCAAATACGGAAAACCCGCTCTAATACCCAGTCGGTGTGTATACAAATAATAACAATGCCCCGCTGAATTGTAGGGCGTTAACCTAGTCCTGGTTATGTACCAGAACTAATTCAAGGGGAGAGATGCTGTGATGACAGAACCAGGATAACTTTATTCAAAATCGTCGTCTATAGCCTCGTTCCTAGTTTTATAGATCATCGTCTTAGTACTACGATAGCCCTTCTCCTGTCGTTTCCATTGTTTCTTGTATCAGTGCCCTAGCTGAGGCAGTTCAACTCCAATATTGGTGAATTGTTGACTGCACCGTGGCCAGATCTCTTGTCTACATCACAACTTAGCCGGGAGCAATTAAAGAACCATCGTAGATGATGCCATTCCAAGTCTTATGTTACATCTTCCTCATCCTTTTGGATATTAAGCAAAACAGAGCCAGCGCCGAGTATATCGTAAACCACAACACCACAGTAGTATCCCTGCATAACCAAATCACACGCGACCCACACTATGCTCTACGCCATGTCATCTGCATCATGATGGTGGGTGTTTTCATTATCGGACGCGTGGAATGCGTCCCCGAACGCCGAGTTTTCCAGGTCCGGAAGATCGAGGACTTCGTTCTGCTCCGTATAGGCCGCCAGTGCATCGCCCGCACTGTCCATATTAGTAAAGTCAAAGTTGGCCCCGTCCAGACCACTGTCCCCCCCTGTGTTGCCAGGCGTCAGACCCTGTATTCCACTGCCTGGCGTTTCGATTCCATGGAGATGGGCATCGCCGACGGGAGGCTTGTCGCCATGGTCCTTCTTCTCGTCGTTGACCATTACCCAATCCCCAGTTTCACCTGCGGCTGTATTCACGGGCGGAGCATTGCCCAGATCCATCTCAACGTCCATACCGGGCATCGTCACACCCTGCTGGGGCACGGCAGCTGTTGGCTGCAGCGGTGCAGCAGCATTGACACCAGGGACCTCTGAGACACCTGGTATATTTGCCGTTGCGGCTAGTTCTGGAGCGGAAGGTGCACCTCCTTGAACGGGGCCGGAGGGAGGTGGAGAGCCAAACTGGTTGAGAAGAAGGCTATCGGCCTGCTCCATGTCGATGTCGGTATCTAATGGGGCTTCTGGCTTCTGCTCGGGTTCAATCTTTTCTAACAAGCCACCTTTTTGGACGCAAGAAACCTTAGGCTCCGGCACAATCTGCTTGTTCCACGAGGTTTCGAGCTCCTTAACCACATCATCCACCTTGTACTTAGCCTGCGGCGAGGACACAGGCGGTGTTTGAGTCTCGTCGCCTTCGGCAGGGACCTCAATGCGGCCTTCCAGTCTCCACAATTCAGTCCCTGTGGCGTTCGGATCTGCCGCCGCTTCCCGGAGTCGGAGTTCCGCGTCTTTCAGCAATGAGGTACGGTTGAACTTCTCCATCCGGCGCGCATGTCGCTTCTTCAGCTTCTCAATCTCGGCAGTCATGTCCGCCACCTTCTTCGCAACACGGTCGGCAAACTCCTCCGCCTTTGCAGGCTCCATCTTGGTCGCCTGGGCAGAATCGGCCGCATCTTTAGATTCCCCACTAGCAGGTCCGGAAGGCGCGTCGAAGAAGCCCGCCGTCAACGACTCCAACTCCCCTTTGCGACCCAACCCAAGAGAGACGGGGGTAATCTGGCTGATGGCGTACGGTGAAGCAAAGATCTCTTCCATCCATTCATGGTGTTGTTGATATCTCATCTTACTCACTTCCCGTGGGGTAAGAAGATCCATCATGTCGCCTGTGGAAACATCCTCGTCCTCGAGAGCGAAGTCGGCAGTGGCGGCATTCACTGCAGCCGACGAAGCGCGGTGTCCACGGGGCGCCTTGGCCGGTGCTGCTCCTGCCGGAGCGGGCACACCTGCACCAGGCTGGGGATAGAACGGTTGACGGCCGACCATGGCACTCGGATAGGCTGGTGGAACTTGTGCGAAACCTTGCGGGGCAACCTGTGGGGGGAAGTTGATCGTCGGCCAATTATTGCGGTCGTGCAGCATGAAGTCTTTGCGGGCAAGCTGGCCTTGGCTTTGCAAGAAACGACGTTGGCCGAGCATGCTTTGAACTTGAGGGAGCACATGAATTCGGTTGGCCGGAACATGCTCGGTAGGAGGTGCTCGTGAGTAGTGAACAATCCATAATGACGGGTCGGGCGGGGGCATGTTTGGGTTCGGGTTCTTTGAAGGTAGCAACCGGTAGCGTCTGCGACAATGGATCGCCATTGTCTCGTTTGGTGGGTGGTAGCCACTGCGGTGCAGCCACATCTCGACCAACTGATGCGCTCTCATGTCAGTCATGATCCTGGCCACCGGACGGCAAGTCCTGAGAGATCGGGTCTACCTACGTAACCGCGGGCTTCGAAGGTGAACGCCTGTTCGACATCGGCCCACACGTAACCATCGCTGGCGAAGTTCGTTCCCAGATGATTCAAGGGCTGCCAGGTGAGCATGACAGTCCCATCTTGAGGTCCATCCAGGAAGGTCCAATGCATCGGCTGCGCCTCCCGTACAATCTTAGGTGCGCCGAGGAGGTATTCGACGACGGTGTCGGTGGGCATCATATGCATCAGTGGGAATCGGTGTCGCGACACCAGGTGCATATGCGGCAACTGTGGGAATCGAAATGCAGGTTAGACATTTGGCCCGTAACATTGCATTGCGACTTGGATCAGTATAGATTGGCCTACCAACTGCCCGGGGACACGGGTCGCTGGGTCGTCCATTGTGAATAGACGCCGTCGCAATCAGGAAGAAACGTGTCAGTGCTTTCGTAACAAAATCAAACCCCTAGATAATAGGTAACAGGAAATGCATCCGAGACGGGAAGTTCGACCGGTCGGCAAGAGACAATGAGAACGAATGAACGCAACGAGCAAATGCCTTTGCGAACGCGACGCGGAAATTTGAGGTTCCTTTCCCCGAGAAGCTGAGAGTCACGGTGACGGTTGGGGAGGGGACACCGACCTTAAGCGCACATTTTACACCTGATATATAAGGCGATGAGAACGGCCCAGGCGGTACGGAAAGCGGAGCAACTAATACCCGGCAGAACACAGACTCATTTGGCAATTACATCACCCCGACAAGACTAAATGCTCTGTGCTTCGGGTTACTTATTCATTACTCAGTAACTGTCGCTCTGGTTATTCTTAGATTACTCTGGCTTGAGTTAGTAAATAATCCCAGAGTAAGTTTCGTCTATTCTCTGTTATTACTTAAATAACTACACAGGAACAAGGTTTCTATACTGTGGCTAGATTCATTGATCCAATATTTATCTTCTAATATTACTCTATATTATCAGTAATTCTTTCTACTTAAATTACAACTAAGTTTAACTATTCCTTAATATGGTATTTGTTGCTAAATCCCCCATTTCCTTCTTCCTGGGGCAATAATACAGTACACCTTCTCTTCCTCGTCCGATACGAATCATTACAGTGGGACATTAGGTTCTCCTCCATCCCATGGATCCATATTCAGATCTACTTTCGCTTGCTCCACAATTCAGCTCCAGTCAACATGGCAAGAGAAGTTGATTGCTTACCGCTACCTACGATGCAGATCCTCTCCAAGGAACAGGTCATATTCTGAATGACTACCGAACTCGGCCATGCTAATAGGAATCTATCTCGCTTGCGGAGATTTTTCTATAGTAGATAATAAATTAAATATATTAATAGTATAACTGGATATAACTATCTAGATCTGTACAATCTAGTGATATACCAAGATAGCTCTTTATAATTATATTAAAAATACTAGTTTAGCATTGATGAAATACTCGGGCAAACGGGACGTCACCTTCCTCTATGCCACGCTAGGCCGCCTCTATCCGTTCCCGGATATCGACCAGATCACCGGTTTCCTCCTGCGAAGTCGCCTGTTGCGCTTACAGATGAACGAGGCCAATGCCGACGTCCCAGTGGATGTGCTGTTGGAATCCGTTCAAAAGGACTTGATCTCCACGGGCCGTCAAGAGCATGTTCAAAAATTGCCCTATATTGGCAGCACCACCATGCCACAGTCCTATGTCAACATCAAGGCAGGCACATCCAGTCTCAAGAAACAGCGGATCGATGAAGATTTGGTGGTTACCCCCCGTCGCGACTTGGAGTATTGGGTCTTCTTCTGCAGATTCGCCATCTACCTCGATATCGCCATGCGAGACGACGATATCTTGGTGGGATTCAGATACGAGTCCTTCACTCTTGCCATCGGAGAGTGCCCGGCAAATTATCGATAGTTTTACTACATTTCTCAGGCGAATCGCGAACTCCTATGACACCACCTTCAGCGCCTTAGTGAATTAATCATATCAATAGTTTACGTTGTTAGGAGGAATATGATCCTTGCAGGATCAAGTAGATGAACGATCTGATAGATTGCAGAATAGAAAGGCCTCGAAGCAGTGTGAATATATAAGCTAAGCTGTTCAGGTTATTCACTGTGTTGTATTCAATCCTATCAGCGAGCTATGAAAGCGTTCTTGAGTGGTTTGTGGTTGAATGTGAACTATTCACGTCTTCTACTTTTACTACATACTACGGCTGCCGCTCACGACATGTTTTTCTACTATAACCCTACTACGGCGAGGCCTATTACACTCGCTGATACTACATTGCAGGTTATATGCCCCACTGGTGAGAGAGACCAAACTAAAATGCTATGATTCTGAAACTGCATAACAACTAAGATGACCCTAAGCAACTTGGATTCTGAGCGGCCCTTCTCCCTACTCGCAGTCTATCATCAGGCAACGTCTGTTGGGCCTGCGGAACCTCAAGCCCGCACGTCGCCCATGTTGTAGCCAAAGAAGATGGCCAGGTCAGTAATATTCTTTCTGTATACTGTCGCAATGATATGATTGATCTAACAGCCAGGCAGATCCCTCTATAGTCTGAGATGTCTTTGATCAACTTCTCCTTGGTGTCGGCCGACAATGGTAGAGCGTTGTGCCATGCAGAATTTGACCGGTCTGGTGAGCCGGGATTTCTGTTCCTTTCTATAGATATCCCATTCTTTATAAATTTCGAACTACGAGATCAAAGGAGGAGAGCAGCGGAAGAAATACATGGCAGGAAGGTTAACACAAAGTACGTACAAAGGGTATCATCCGCCAACGGAGGCTAGCGGACGGTTCTACCGAAGGCCTTTACAAGCCCACATTTTTGAAGCATTACCTGCTGAATGGGAGAGTCTCCCCAGAACAACTTGGACTGTTAGAAAATAAGAAGTGGCATAGCGCCCCCATGGCAAGTCTGCGGCGAGCCATTTCAGCGCTAGGCAGTGGACGCGTTTGTACTCTTGACGAAACTATAGTGGATTGTTTACAAAGGCTACGGGACCTCTATTTTCGAGCACAGCCATTGAGACCCGGTATCATAAACACCCCTTTGAATGACCGCATTATACTACCCACCAAGTCTGCGAGCGGTATGCTAGCATCCTTGCCGGCAGTGAGATAGGGTGGGGATAACTAAGAGTAAAGGTGGAGCCGCGCACGGATGTTTGGATCGTGACTACGGCTGAAGTTCTCGGCATGAACAATCCTATGGAGTATCAGTATTTGGTCATTCCTCCATCGATATGAGTCGTTCCACTTCCACACTAAGTTCTACCTTGATGTAAAGCTTCGTTCATTCACGAATTGCCTCTGTCCGTGTTGTACTATTGAATCCTATTCACCGAACCCTAACTGGAGAATAACACTGGCAGGCCAGCCTCCGACCTCTGGATAGGATATTCAGTTTCACGTCGGAACCCTTTCCGTTGTATTGTACTTTTATTTTATTATTTTTATTACTTTTACTATTATTATTATTTCAACAACCTTGACGGAGAACCCCTTCATGACTAAAGTCCTGTTCCATAGTAGTACTAGTGCTACATTCTGACACATAAACTGCTTCATGTCGGTATGTACATGCAACTGCCCCCGTACTTGCAAAGTGTTTGAAGTCGGATGCCGATGTCACGTACCTTGCATATCAGATTGCCAGCCTCCTCCGTCGGTAGAACGAATTAGCGATCCATTCTGAATAAATCCATAGAGACATGAATCCATAGGACACTGTCAAAATAAGAATAAAATAAAATAACAAGTCTACCGAGTAACGATCAGGCACACTACCGTCAATGCACTTGGTGTGGACGGTGAAAAGAGAATGACAGTCGAAGTACCGAGTACTCCCGGATCTCAAAAGGTACTATAACCCTTCCCCCGCCCCCAAACAAGCCTTGCGCAAGCTTTGGTGCGGTATTGCCGGCACCAAACCCGAATGGGAAGCTCATAAACCCGCCACGATCGCCGAACTGGAAAGCCTAGTCGAAGCTCTCTCCGCAATTGGCTTGTGCCCGGGAGTTCACTCATCCTCCCCGTGCTTGATGCATCGTCCAGTTTCCAATCGTGACTCACGACACTCCAGTCGAGATATCAGTCGGCAAGCATGGTACCCGAATTCAATGGCCTTCCCCCACCACTACCACCCAATGGTCTTGCCGTCACCAGTATTCAGTCCAGGTATTCAGCTCTCGTCCTTGCATGGCGTCACTCCTCCCATGTGGGACGCTGGCACTTGTCCCATTTCCGGTTAACTTTTGCTGATCTTCCAATAGACTCAATAATGGCCCTGGTCGCTAAACAAAATTCTCCGACATGACACGCCTATAAAAGATCCTCCGTCGCTCGTTCAAGTTCTTTTTCACTTCCTCAACTGCTGTTGGTGTTTCACCGCGAACCTCCTCTCGTCCTCGCGTTCCCCCATCAATCATGGGTTTCTTTGGAAAGAAAGACCCTTGTGGTGACGAGATCAAAGAGGTTCCGATAATGAGCGACCCGGAGAAGCAGCAGCCGGTCCACCACAATGACGTTCAGACCGCTCTTCCTCAGATTCCTCCGACGGTGGTCAACATTGATCCTGCCGTTGAAGCGCGCATCTTAAGGAAGCTCGATTTAAGAGTCCCCACTCTCATGGGATTTCTATGTATGTCTCCGTGTACACGCACTCTTCACCGGCGCTTCTGTTCAACGCGTGTCTAACAACTTGTCGACAGACCTGCTTTCTCTTCTTGACCGAAGTAATATTGGGTTCGTTAACAGACCTTCATGACTACGGGAGGATCAAACTGACCAGTAACGAAGAAATGCGAAGATCGCAGGAATGGAGGATGACCTGGACCTCTCCGGAAATCGCTATGCCTGGCTCCTAACGATCTTTTACATCTCCTATGTCGTGTTCGAGTTTGGGGCCTTCATGTGGAAGATCATGCCGCCTCATCGATGGGCAGCCATTACGGTCTTGTCCTGGTAAGTCAAAGACATCCTCAACCACGATGCCTCGCGAACCTCTCTAATCCACCGTAAGGGGCATTGTGGCGACATGTCAGGCCGCGGTCCAGAATTGGGAGGGACTCATGGCTTTGCGGTTCCTGCTCGGCATGTCTGAGGCTGCCTTTGGTCCCGGAACTCCTTATTTACTGTCTTTCTTCTATCGCCGTCATGAGCTCGGCTTCCGCTGTGGGCTCTTCGTGTCAGCCGCCCCTCTAGCGAATACATTCGCCGGTGCCCTTGCGTATGGAATTACTTCGGGTCATTCCAAGTTAGCGAACTGGAGATTGTTATTTCTGGTAGAGGGCAGCCCGTCATTGCTGGCTGCTATCCTAGCCTGGCGATTTCTCCCCGACAGCCCTTCCAAAGCCCGGTTTTTGACCGAAGAAGAGAAGGAGGTTGCGCGGGCAAGAAGCCTTCAGCAGAGTGGCGAACGCGAACGGTCGAACAAGATCAATTGGAGAGAGTTAGCCGAAACACTAACGGATGCGAAGGCCTGGCTAACCGCGGTATGTTGATGCTGAGTTCATAACATTTAGTTGTGCTGGTGGCGTATGATAGCTGATTGCCAATGTGGTTTAGTTGATGTACTTCAGCTGCAACGTGAGCTTTTCTTCGCTTCCGGTGTTCCTGCCCACCATCCTGAAGGATATGGGGTTCACTTCGATCAACGCCCAAGGGCTTACGGCGCCGCCCTACTTTGCTTCGTTCCTGGTCACAATTGCCACCACCTGGATCGCGGATCGGTTGCAACAGCGTGGTTTGATGCTTATGGTCCTGTCTCTGATCGGAGCTATTGGCTACGTTCTCCTCGCCACCTGCACATCTGTTGGCGCGCGTTACGCAGGGGTGTTCCTCGCTGCTATCGGTGTATTCCCTTGTATCGCGAACATTCTCCCGTGGGCTCTGAGTAAGTGCTCTCCCAGTACCTGCTTCCTAACCTACCGTATCGGGAGGCTAACGAACATACACCAGATAACCAAGGCTCGGATTCACGACGGGGTATGGGCATTGTCATCCTCAATCTCATCGGCCAATGCGGACCCTTCCTGGGCACGAACGTCTTCCCGGAAAGCGACGGGCCGCGCTACATCCGCGGACAGTCCATTTGCGCTGCCTTCATGTTCTTCACCATGATTCTCGCGCTCGCTCTCCGAACCCTTCTCGTATGGGAGAACCGCCGCCTAGACAAGCAACATGGCACGCAGGCCGAGCGGGAAGCACGGGGGTGGAACAAAGGCGAAAATGTCGCCGAAGAGAATTATGGAGCTGGATTCCGGTACGTGCTATAGAGATGTAGACCCGAAAGTAACGATGCTGGAAACGAATGCTACGATGTGACGATTGGATGTGAAATCTGGATTATGTATACCATAATATTAATCCAAATGCGATTTACGAACAAGACTTTTCTTTCTTTTTACGATTTACTCTTACTTGTTGAATAAAAGTCGCGCGCCATGAAGGTGAGTCGCTTAGTCGGAGCCTGGATGCATGCCTCCCCGGTCCTAAAGTGGTTAAATATTTAAGTGGAGGGGCAACAATCAGTTCCACTTCGCAAAATAAGCAGCAGCTGAAGCTCACACTTATCTACCCCTCGAGATTTTCCGGGCGATTGACTAATTCCCTCCACAAACTAGCCAACCCTGGAGACAGTAACTACGATCCTGAGACATTTCCCCATAGCTTCGACGCACCTCTATACAGCACCAAGGAACAGCCCACCCAGATACAGATACAGGTACATGGTCCTTCCCCCCCCCAGATCACCGGGAACCCCACAACTAACTGCCGAAGTAGAGAGTACGGTAACATACAGCCACCATGGCCTATGCATCAGAACACCATGCCCATCTTTACGGGATCGTGGATATGGGCAGGTAATACCGCAATTCCCTTCCACTTGAACTGAGTTTACAGAATTAACATCACCCCCAGCAATGGAATCCGCTTCTCCATCACCGACATCTCACCCCCGACAGCGCGGACCATGCCCACCGTTTACCAGGACCGGGCTGGCATCTCGCTCTACGATGCCCAGTTCGCCGGTGGTGCGCGCGGCCCCATCCCGCAGGACGTTGTAGAGCAGGTCGTGGACCGGTTGGTGCGGTTCCAGATTACGTGCGAGGATTTCGGCGTCCCAGCGCAGAATGTTTACGTGCTTGCTACGGAGGCGACGCGGACGGCGCCGAATTCGGAGGAGTTTCGGGCGCGCATTAAGCACCGCACGGGGTGGGAGGTGCGTCTGTTGTCGAAGGAGGATGAGGGGAGGATTGGGGCGCTGGGTATCGCGAGCAGTGCTTCCTCGGTAGCGGGGCTGGCGATGGATCTCGGGGGTGGGAGTACGCAGATTACGTGGGTGGTTGAGAAGGATGGGGTCGTGACTACTAGTCCAAGGGGGTCGTTCAGTTTTCCTTACGGGGCAGCGGCGTTGACGAAGCGGTTGGAGCAGGCGAAGGCGGAAGGGAAGAAAGCGGAGAAGGCGTTGAAGCAGGAGATGATCAACAACTTTCAGGAGGCGTATCGGGCTCTCGAGGTTCCGGAGTTTCTGTTGGAGACGGCGAAGTCGCTGGGGAGGTTTGATTTATATCTCTGTGGAGGTGGGTTCCGGGGCTGGGGCTACGTGCTCATGAATCAGCATAAGGTGGATCCTTATCCGATCCCTATCATTAATGGGTTTCGAGTGCGCAGAGGAGACTTCCATGATACTGTGTCTGTTCTGGATTCGGTCTCTGACTCGGATGAGAAGATATTCGGCGTCTCGAAGCGACGGGCTTCGCAGATCCCCGCGGTGGCTGTCCTGGTCAATGTGATCATGGACGCCTTGCCAGATATTACACACATCCAGTTCTGCCAGGGAGGCGTCCGGGAGGGTTTCCTTTTCGACCAGATGCCCCAGGAGGTTCGCGCACAAGATCCGCTTCTAGCGGCCAGTTTGCCGTATGCATCTCCATCCAATGCAGCCATTCGAGGACTACTGGCTGCCGCGTTGCCTTCGACATCTTCGCCTACAGAATCTCGCCATGCACCGGTTTCGTTCTCCCCTCAGTTACTTGGGGCGCTCGCAAACCTGCTTTTTGCTCATTCCCGCGTGCCGCGCGAATCGCGTTCGGCTGTTGCACTGCATAGTACTACGACCGGCATCCTGGCATCCGTGAACACTCTATCACACGTCGAACGTGCCCTGATTGCCCTGATACTCTGCGAGCGCTGGGCAGGGGACCTGGCACCCACGGATGAAGTATTCCACCGGCAGCTGAGCCGCTGTGTTTCTAAGCAGGAGGCTTGGTGGTGTCAGTACTTGGGTCGGGTAGCGACCCTAATCGGAGACGTGCATCCATCCGGCCGCGTGTCGGACACGCATTGGAGGATTCAACTGGAGACGGAATGGGAATCTATTGTGAAGAAGAAAGACGAGTGCGATCTGCTGCGTCTCAAAGTGAAATGCAACAATGCTGTTGCTGCTGCCGCCTTCTCGCTTGACAGCTTACAGGAAAGGGCGGAGAAAGTCGAGAAAGCCGGAAAGAAAAAGAACTGGCCGAAGGATTATGGAGTGCGAGTGGGGGTAACGATTTGCTAGGGGTTCATTATGGAGAGGCAGTCGTGGACATCTACTGTTTTTGGGTCAATGTTAATAACGCATATTATGGTGGATCGCTTCACGGCCAGTGGGATGTCCGCCATTGCTCGATATGACAGGCGGGCAATTGATTACTGGATCCCATTGGTAACGAAATGTAAAAGCTAAGGATCGTCCGCCGATGTCAGGATGATTTCACTTGTTTCTTGACCGGCTCACCGGCCAAAGCTAAAGACGAGCAAAATGAACGGATAGATTCGGGTCGGCGGATCTATACGGCATAGTGCGCGTATCACGTTGACTCAACCCTTGCTATTTAATTGACCCCTCCTTCTCAACCCCGCCTTCTTCTTCTCTTTTTTTCTCATCACACACAATTCTCTATCTCAGATTCCAATTCCAAAAATCCTCGGACAAAACCGAACAAGTCTTCCTCCCTTTCATAAACCTTAGGTGATTGGAATAGCTGACCATCTTCTATAGCCCAAACCACCCGATAATGTAAATACTCTCCTCGATTAGCCCTCTATAGGGCATACGATGGAAGTCATGGAATGCTTTTGGCTGGACTCACAATGATCAAGGTATCTTAGGTAACGTCTTTGGCGTGGGCCGGTGTTCGTTCCCATCCATCGATGCATTCACATGTCCTCCCGAAGCTGGATCCTAGACTAGGATCCTAGCCTGGAAGGACGTGGCATCGATGGACTGGGTTCGTTCTGAGATTATACGGCTAAAACTTGATCTGGATAATACCAGCGAAAAGGATCATGCCTTCCCTCGTCCCCCAAGGGGATGGATTGGCTAACAAATTACAGTCATTATAACTTGAAACATGTCTCCTCCAGCTGCCCTCTACGAACACACTGTGGCCCCTACCAGCCTCAAGGGCAAGGTCGTGGTTCCTGAGACTGCCCCCGTTGAGGGAGCTTCTCAGACCAAGATGCTCGACCTTTTCGGTGGCAAGTGGGACCAGTTCAAGTTCGCCCCTATCCGCGAAAGTCAGGTCTCTCGTGCCATGACCAGACGTTACTTCGAGGACCTGGACAAGTACGCTGAGAGTGACGTTGTCATTGTCGGTGCTGGTTCCTGCGGTCTGAGCACTGCGTACGTCCTGGCCAAGGCTCGTCCGGACCTGAAGATTGCTATCGTCGAGGCTAGCGTCTCTCCTGGTCAGTAGTCGATGGACGATCTTGCGCTGAGCTTTCCAGAACTAACGTGAAATAGGTGGCGGTGCCTGGTTGGGTGGCCAGCTCTTTTCTGCTATGGTCATGCGCCGTCCCGCGGAACTCTTCCTGAACGAGCTGGGTGTTCCTTATGAAGAGGACGCGAACCCCAACTACGTTGTCGTCAAGCATGCCTCCTTGTTCACCTCGACTCTCATGTCGAAGGTTCTCTCCTTCCCCAATGTCAAGCTCTTCAATGCTACCGCCGTTGAGGACTTGATCACCCGTCCTACTACGGACGGCAACACCCAGATTGCTGGTGTTGTCGTCAACTGGACGCTGGTCACCCTTCACCACGACGACCACTCCTGCATGGACCCCAACACTATCAACGCCCCTGTCATCATCAGTACCACTGGTCACGATGGCCCATTCGGTGCCTTCTGTGCGAAGCGACTGGTGTCCATGGGCAGCGTCGACAAGCTGGGTGGCATGCGTGGTCTCGACATGAACTCGGCCGAGGATGCCATCGTCAAGAACACCCGTGAGGTGACCAAGGGCTTGATCATCGGCGGTATGGAGCTGTCTGAAATCGATGGCTTCAACCGCATGGGCCCCACCTTCGGTGCCATGGTTCTCAGTGGTGTCAAGGCCGCCGAGGAGGCCTTGAAGGTGTTCGACGAGCGCCAGCGCGAGTGTGCTGAGTAAATGACTCACCATCCGTATGGCTTGAGTGTGTGGTCCAAATTGTGTTACGGTTTTGATGACAGGAGAATGATGATTATGTGATAGTTCTGAGATTTGAATGAACTCGTTAACTCGTATTCCACATGCATATGTAAATGGCCATGTCCTGTAAGTAACAGTGGGACATTTTAGAGCAATTATGTGTAACCAGAAAGACAATATGATACAAAAGGCCCAAGACATTCAGTCATACTGCATGTACTCATTCCGACTTCTCAGATCCACCGCTTCTCTCGACCAATTCTTTCGCATTGCGCACCTCCCATTCAAACTCCTTCAGTGCGCGCAGCTCGCTGGACATGAACAGCCCGCCAATCAATCCATCCAAAATCCCCGCCCCGAAGCTCAGGGTGCTGACCAAAACCAAGATAAACGCCACGTACGACAGATCCCCCGTCCACCAGACGCCGACAAAGCAGCCGATGGACACAAACACGGATAGAATAAAGTGGGCGAGTCTCCAACGGCGCTGGGACCGCTCACGTTGAACATAGGTGTGAATCATGTCGATGATACGGTCATAAGTGTCTGGGGATAGGGCTGTATTCGGAATCACGGACTGGGGAAGCTTATTATCTGTCGAGCCGTCCGCATCAGAGGGACGAGGAGAGCGGGTGATGGTGGCTTCGACGGCGAAGTGATCGCTCAGCGAACAACGGAGCGTGGGATGCCGCTGCGTCATACCGATATTGACGGACTCAACGGACCACTGGGGCGCAGGGAAGGCGGGCGGATACCCGCCGTCTCCGACGAAGATATAATCCAGCCGTTTCCCCCTCGAACAGGGACCATCCTTGTCGACAACGACCTCCTCCCCTTTCTCCAGCCGTTTGCGGTCCTCCTTGGTCCACCGCCAGGTGTTGAATTTGCCGTCGCATGTGGCGCCGTTCACATTGAGGTTGAACTCGGCTGACGGGGTCGGTTTGCCTCGTTTCTGTTCGATGGGGTCGATGGGGGCGGCCACGGACGAGTCTGGGTATATCGCCTGCCATACGTCCTGCACGGGGCTGTGGGCGCGAATGAGCTGGTGAGCGAACGACGACGGCACCATGTTGAAGTCGCCCAGTCCAATGGCAAGGTGGCCTCGTTCCGCGGCGCCGCGCATCAACTTCGCGATTTCCCACGCCTGCGCGGTGCGATGGCAGATGTACGAATCGTTCGGTTCCTTCTCGTAGGGGGCGTGCAGATGCGTGCAGAACACTTCGGCGACGTCGCTGGCGTCAGGACCAAAGCGTACACGGGCGCAGGCGACACCTTTCCCGACGTACCAGTCGCCGCGGAAGAACGCCGTTGGACGTCCGTTGAGCGGGTACCCGTACATGGAGCTCTCTTCAATGGGCCATTTCGAGAGGATGGCGAGTCCCGCGCCCATCACGCCGCCGAAGTAGAACTTGCCATAGGGGAGCAGGTGACGGGTCTGCTCACGGATGCTCTCGTAGTCTTGTTGTGTCCAGCATTCTTGGAGTCCGACGATCTCGGGAGCTGGGTCGGCCAGGGCCAGCTGGCGACCGATCTCTGAGAGACGCTCGTGGCGGTATTTGGCGATGTATTTGAGGCCCCAGCAGTTCAGGGTGAAGATGCGGATCTGGGAGGGGGCGTCGGAGGGGTAGACGGTGGATTGGGCGGACATGGTGGCCGTGCGGGATTAAGAGGAAGTGAGATATATGAATTATTAGAAATTAAGTAGTTTGGACAGCTAGAGATGGGTCATATTTGGTGCCTAGGCGATATAAATCGAAGTGGGTTCATCAGCGTGAACATCGAATAACTTTTGCTGGATGACGCCGACAAAGCGCGATCAGGCACACTCACCGCCCTGTTAATGCAGTCGCTCATTGGCTGGGGATTATTATTCTTCTGCATCTTCGCGATGGATTCATTCAGGCCGATTGTTCCTCCTGCGCCCTTGTTTCTCCTTCAATCTCTCGTGCCCCCTTGGTTCCTTCTGGATTGTTGATCAGATGGACGGGAATAACCACCGCTCCAAGCGCCGTCGACTGGACCGGTCTCCAAGCCGCGAAAATGGCTACATCCAGTCACCCGTGGAGTCTTCATCGGACGAACTCGCCGCGGGCTCCGATCACGACGAGGCCGAACGGCGTCGCGCAAGCTGGTCCTTACAGAAAGCATTGCCCCCAAAGCGCCCAAATACACGCCTGCGCAGTTTCAGCGGCTCGGAAAGCCCAGATGAGCTGGCAGTCGACGCTGATGTGTATTGGCGCTCCCGCAACCGGGGCCGCAGTTCGTCACCCTCCGACGTGAGCGCCGCGGGGCCGTCATCAGAACACTACCAAGATGAGGAGGAAGTCGATGCCGATCTGGACGACAACGAGTCCCCTGGGGAAGGGGATGCAGAGCCCGAGCAAGCATATTCCGATCGGTCGCCCACGCCTGTGCCTCCGCCTCCCCCGCCGCCGCCGCCAAAACCGGACAAGATCAATTACCGACAAAAGTTTTTGTTACGAGGTCACTTACGGGGAGTTTCCACCGTGCGGTTCTCGCCTGATTCATCTATGATTGCCAGTGGCGGTGGGTTTTTGCAATTGTATTGTATGTTTTCCGAGTCAGTTGCTGATCGCTTCTAGGTGCCGACGGGGCTGTCAAGGTGTGGGATACGTTGACCGGAAAGCTGGTGCATACGTTCGAGGGCCATCTGGCAGGAATATCGACAATCTCCTGGAGCCCGGATGGGGCTATCATTGCGTCTGGGTCGGATGACAAGACGATCCGCCTCTGGAATGTGCTGACGGTATGCCCCCCCTTCGTCTGACAGCTCTTCTCCACTAAGTGTTCCCCGCCGTATAGGGCAAAGCGCATTCGATCCCCTTCGTTGGCCACCATAACTATGTCTACCAGATTGCCTTCTCGCCCAAGGGCAACATGCTGGTCAGCGGTTCTTACGACGAAGCGGTCTTCCTCTGGGACGTGCGCTCCGCGACGGTGATGCGTTCCCTCCCCGCGCATTCCGACCCCGTCGGCGGGATCGACGTCGTCTGGGACGGCACCCTTATCGCATCCTGCGCGACCGACGGGCTGATTCGAATCTGGGACACGGCAACGGGCCAGTGTCTGCGCACGCTGGTCCACGAGGACAACCCCCCGGTCACGTCGGTCAAATTCTCCCCCAATGGCAAGTTTGTCCTGGCCTGGTCGCTGGACGACTGCGTACGGCTGTGGAACTACGTGGAAGGACGCTGTATCAAGACCTACCAGGGACACGTCAACCGGAAATACAGTCTGGCGGGCGGTTTCGGTACATATGGAGTGCGTGGCGCACCGCCCCACGCGTTCGCTGTCAGCGGGAGCGAAGACGGCGCCGTTCTATGCTGGGACGTAGTGAGCAAGAAGACCTTGCAGCGGATTGAAGGGCATACAGGAGTGGTACTGGGCGTTGACACTTGCACGCTGGGCGACAAGCGGTTAATGGTGAGCTGTGGAATCGACCAGACGATACGGGTGTACGAGGAGGTCGAAGACGACGACGACGACGGAATGAACACCGACGCGAAAGAATCTCCCCCAGCGATCAACGGGGCTGAGCCAAATGGAGCCGAGTCAAATACAACTGAGCCAAACGGAACCGAACCAAATGGGATTCTGCCAAACGGGATAACGCAGAACGGAGCAGAAGGAGGACACGAGCAGCAGCATCCCGGAGATACCCAAGAACCCCAGGATACGGAGATGGCAGATGCCGACGCCGGTCCAGAGGGATGAAGCTTTTTTTTTCTTCTTGACTTGCTCTTCTTTTCTACTGTGTAATTTACATACTCTACATGGGTCGGCGTTCGGCAGGATATACTGTACTGTATAATAGACGATAGGATCATGACGACTATTGAATTTCACGATACCAAGCCTTGATCTGCAGACACGACTAGGAACTTCACCCATTGCGTTTGCCTACACTAATGGCTTAGCATATACTTATCACTGGAGTTTGACCCTAGTAGAGCTTGTCATAATACACCGCAGAAGTACATCCGGCTCTGGGAGGGTTTCCGACACAGCAAAAAGAACACAATGTCCAGTATGGCGACTGAAAGGAGGCTGGCACACGGGCTAGAGACAGTACGAGCAAGAGCTATAGATGAGTCGGCGCTTCAGTTAGTTCGCTTGCTAGACAAGCATTAGGTTGGTCTCACTACCAAACATTTCTGTTCTAACGGAAGGCCGACTCGGCTGGGCCCAGCCTGGGGATTCGGTTTGGGTTTGACGGTGCGACGGTGCCCTATGTGCTGCGGCCGCGTGCGAAGGAAGTTGAGGATATGTTCTCTCTTGCGCACGCTATCTTTCAGGTCAGTCCAGCGATGATGGATTGACGGAGTATATGTTAGTGGGTGAATGCTATGTGCATGGTATCATGGAAGGTGAGGTTATGGCTCGTGAGTGTTTGGATACGAGGGTCTTTGCATTATCTTATGGTGTCCAGCTATTAGAGGAAAGGAGTAATCAACTTAGTATATGGAAAGTCTACCAGGGAGGAACTAATCACACAATGATATAGCTTTGTGTCTATGAGACTTTAGTATCTAGATCAGTTTAGTTGAAAGCTGAACTAATCGTATATCAGCTATCAGGGTACATGACTCTAATCTAACCAACCCACAGTTAACACCACCAACTCGATATTAGAGTACCATATCAGACACGAACCGCCCTGGCTCCCTTTCTGCTGAGATTCGTCTGAAAGAACCGCGTGAGCTTGCCAAAGGGGATGAGATCGACGCGATCGTAGAGGTCGACGTGGCCGGCTCTAGGCACCCAGAAGAGCTCCTTCGGCTCGGCCGCACGCGCATAAGCGTCCTCGCTGAACTCGCGCGAGTGGGCCTGGTCGCCCGAGATGAAGAGCAGCGGACGCGGCGAGATGGTGTCGATATCGTTGAACGGGTAAAAGTTCATGAACTTGACGTTACTGGAGAGCGTGGGATGGGTCGTGAGGTTCGGCGACGAGCCCTCGGGAGTGAACTCGCCACGCGGGGTGCGATAGAAGTCGTAGAACTCGCGTCCAACGGCAGGTGTATCTGCCGTGAGCTCATTCGGGGTGCCGCTGGTGTACTGGACGTCGCCACCGTCGATCTCGGTCCAGCGCTGCTGCGCCGCCCCGGCGATGATCTCCTTGCGCTGCTCAACGCTCTGCGACCTCTGCAACCCGTTGCGGTTGGCGGCGCCCATGTCGTACATGCTCGACGTCGCGATGGCCCGGATGCGCGGGTCGATCTTCGCCGCGCTGATCACGAACCCGCCGCTGCCGCAGATACCGAGCGCGCCGATGCGCTCGCGGTCGACGAACTCCTGCGTGCCCAGATAATCGACCGCTGCGCTGAACGCCTCCGCGTAGAGATCCGGCGACACTGCGTTGCGCGGCTCGCCCGAGCTGCCGCCCCAGAACGACAGGTCCAGCGAGACGGCCACGAAGCCCTGCTCGGCCAGCTTCGTCGCGTACAGGTTCGCGCTCTGCTCCTTCACGGCGCCCATCGGGTGGCCGACCACGATGGCCGGTGCGGTGATGTTGTTGTTGTGCGTGAAGTTGTTACGCGTAAAGAGGTTGCCCGCGATGGTCATCCGGTACTGGTTCTCGAAGGTGATCGGCTGGACCGTGACGCTGTCGCTGCGGTAGAAGTTTGTCAGCCCCGTAGGACAGGTTCTGGGCCATGGCTGACATGGTATTAAGCATCGTCGTTAGACCAAGAGCGGCGAGGCTGCTTCCCTTCATGATGCTGATGCTGATGTTGCTAGTGATATCTGCACACTGAGGTAGTTGTAACTATTGAAGTATAGAGATGAATGGCTTCTGTCTGAGATGACATGTCGCCGATCTTATATCCACGACCAAGACTCTGCACGCCATCACCTCAAAACAGCAGTTGATATCACCAACAGTATGTCCCAGGATACCACAGCGAGGCCGCGCGTTGCCAATACTCTTCAACAAGATGTTGTCATCACGCCAAGAGAGCCGATTGGTAATAACCACCTCAACCCGCCAAGGTTCATGACGAAAATAGCTTGTTGGATAGCATATACTCCGAAGGAGATAAGTATTAAGCTTAGATTAAACAGTGTTCAGCGGGACGCTAATGCAAGTTGCTTACTTGTGGGGCCCGGCAAACCCTCGGATTCCGTCCTGAACGGTTGAACCACATCCCTGAGAAGCCCCCCTACATGCTTTACCTGTCGATCCACAACTGCAACTCGCTTACTTTTTCGTGCAATGCCCCTGCGGCTGTGCATTCACACCGGGGATTCTGGGTTTAGGGAGCTGGTTCAGGGAGACCTTCGGTGTTGAGCTCGGCAGTTTGGGGAGGAGGGGGACTCTAGGCAGCACTGTAGATGGCTTGGCTCTTGGGCTAGACTTTATGTCTGTGTCCGATCTGCGATAATGGTTATGCAGGTATTATACCTGGTCAATGGGCATACTTCCGGAATCTATAGTACTCAGTCCAGTTTAGTCTAGTCTTGTATGGTTTGGAGGCAGGTTGGTTGACAGGTCATGGTACATAGCCGAAGAAATCAAGTTAGAAGACGACTATTAAGGTATATTGGCTAGTGGTTAGGGCTACGATACAGACGGAAACAGCACCTATCTATCCCAGATATGTCGACTCGTGTTTGGAGCATTATCAGTAGCAACTGGTCTAATGATTAACGATCTTCACCCCCCTCCCCCAACTGTGTATTCAGTACATATAGGAGGTTATACAGAGTGATGTAGTGAGATGTTTAGCTTGGGCAAGTCTGAATTTGACCTCGGGTTGCATTATCTTGAGTAGTTCTTCTCGTTATTGCTTGTGTGGTCGTTGCATATAGCGAGTACTCGTCCTTAGTGCGCGAATGTAATGGGATATTTCTCGAAGTTGGGTTGAGAATATGGTCGGAGTTGGTTAGTATTCTCTAAGATTTTATGATCTACTATATGCTCGTAGAGATTTGAGACTTTTATGATAGACATGAGAGGCTTCTCTTCAGACTTCTAGAGTAGAATCAGATGGGAACTATAGTATGTATCCACTTATAAGCAAACAAGTGATAGACATATCTATACACAAATTTAACAACTATAGATATACCAATCAAGAACACCAAGAACCCTTTAAGTAAATTCTACCGCATACATATAGACAAGGAATACACATAGCCTGAGAAAAAGACAAGACAAGCGTGGAAGGGCCGCGCATAGCCTACCACCCATATATAGTCATCCGCAGTTTGTATATATATATAGCACAGAACCCACAACAAAAGCATCCACAGGTTCCAAGAGTCACACGCCAAAGCGACCCTTATAATTTCAATAACTACTCATCAGCATCTATCCCGTCGCATTCTGTAGACATCTCTGCGTTGACCATACATAGGGTGCTAGATGAGGATGTCATCGGATACGGTCACCCACATGACGGACCCGGATCAAGTGATTCCCACTGTCAGGCTGGACTCAGAGTAGATGACCTGACCTGGGAATATTATTACTCACCTTCCAGTATTTAGAGGACATTTATAATGCATTAATCCCCGGGTAGCTTGTTTTACTAGTATATATCTCTCTGGAAGCTTGTTTCGGCTATACATCAACCGGGTTCAGTGTCTCCCGTCAGAATATAGGAATACCAAAGAGAGATAGAAATTGAGATATCTCCAAACGAACGCTGATAATAATACAAATATACACGCCAGCGGTATACACAAGTACACACCAACCCTCTTCTTTATACTTCAAAACCCCTACACTACTCAAACACCAAGTCAACCCAACTCAAACCCAAACCACTACCATCCCAGGGCCGAAGAAGATGTGCTTCCTCGATGTCGACGAAGGTAAAGGCCCCTGTATCCGAGTCGTCGAATTCAGAAACCCACCTATGCGCGTCTCGATCCCGTCCTCCCACCGTCGTCGGCGCAGACACAGCAGCAGTAGCTCCAGCTCCAGCTCCAGCTCCAGCTCCAGCAGCACTGACAGCCATGACTCAACGAGCGTCTGCCCACCCCGACATGCCCATTCGCACTCGCATCACTGTGAGTCCCCGCGGTCGTCATATACGACTGTGTCGAGACGGAGAATCCGGACAGTGGAGGAATCGCTTCCGATATCAAGATGGAAGGGATGGTGGCTTGGGAGTCGGGATTTCTTGCCTGAGCGGAGGTGTGTGGAGTATATTGAGCCCGAGGGGAGGCGGATGAGGGAAAGGGAGAGGAGGAGGCCTATGTGGACCGAGGATGTAGAGTATATTCGGGTGTAGAATTGCTGAACACACCTTCATGGGAGCTTGGGAGTTGGGAGTTAGGGTTTTGTTCGGGTTTGGATTGTTTGGCTAAAGTGTTCTTGATTGGTATTCTTCTTCATTTCCTAATTATTCTTGTTTCATTTGCCAGGTTTTCTTTCTGTTGATTGATTAGATACCAAGACAAGACAATATCCTGAAGTGCAGAGTGTATCCGTGGCTAGACTGCTCCATGATCTCATCCCGAACCAACATGGATCAGATAAGCTCAGGCGAAACTCGCCCCCCGGCCGGACAAAGAGGCCTGCTATCCATGGTAACTGCGCATTGCTTTGTCTGCATTCGGACAATATGACTTCAAAACTTCCGCTTCTCCCGCATGACGTCAGTACGGTTCGCACGGCCGATGCGATCATAAAGTAATTGTACATGTCCTCTAGAACATTGCGTACTTTCGAACATAATTATCTAGCTTCGTATTGTCCTAACCTGCGACCGTTCGTGTATACCATTTATTAAGCTGTATTGTCGGACCTGCGAGGAAGGCGCACTTCTCTATTAGGATATTCTATCAGTAGCTCGACAATCCCATTTTGCCACCTCTGAAAAAGTTGTCGCGACTTAGTGTCAATTACTTTGTGACTTGTTTGGTTTCATCTCAACCATGTACGAGGGTCAATGGCAGAGCTTAGATGCTGGGCTAATATGACCTAGGAATCGAAACCTGTCGGTCCGCAGGAGGAATTCGGTTCCTTCGCGGAGCCGCTTCAGTTTCGCGACGCTGCGCGGTACGCAGCAGCCC